CCTTCCACCCCATCCCAAGCAAGTCATCTATGGCGACAGGGCGCTGGACTTAGCGTTTGACTTTGGAAGCATAGCAGGTGGAACTGTTAGGGAAACCGACTTTGACCTGGCTGAGTTCTTTGGAGAAGAAGCCCCCGTGAGGATCAGTACACTTGCTACCGAGCGTATGATCCAGGAAAGGCTTGAAGATCTGTTTGGTAAGGATCGGAAGTTTACTAAGACAATGGCTGCTGCAATGAAGGAACAAATGATCAAAGACCTAAAGGGCAACACCAAAGAAGAATATATGAGTGCAGCCGGCATCGCCATGTTGTTTGATCGATCAGGAGGAAAACTCACTACAGAGATGTCAGAAGTTATTGCAAAAGTCGATGTGGAGAGTGTACACGCCCAAAATCTCATTGAAGAGGTTCGTAGTATATGGAACGAGTGGGACATCAAGGAAGAAGAACAAAATGACGATCAGCTGATGTTCTGCTCCTTCTACAACGGGTTCATGGCTCCTTACTTTGGATGCTTCATGTGCGATGACACACAGAAGGCCTTGCAAGCTATCAACATGGATAATGATGGATACATCGACTGGAATGAATTCCTGGTGTATCTCAAGTGGGCGATGCGTCAATATCCCAACATCAAAGACGTCGATGAACTGTTAAGTGTCGCCTTCAACAAGGGAATCATACCCGCCATGCGAGATGAAGTACTTAGCAGAAAAGGGAAAGCCAGTCGGGGAAAGAAGTTCAAGTCCCAAACCTGCTGCCATGCTTAAACTTGCAATTCATGTCATTGGGTTTATTTAAATATATTATCAGTCGACATTGGAAATATGGTGAATTGATCGGTATAAGTTTAGCTGTAGGTGCGATTTTTCCTTCGCAAACTTGTTGTTAGGGCTTAAGGTTCACGTTTATTTTAAGGTCATAATCACGCGTCTGTACTAGTCACTGGTGTATCGCTCGATTAAAATAAATATACGTGATTGTGAGTGATACTTCTGTATCTGGTAAATCATAGTAAAAACACTTCAAAGACGGATTGGATATGTTTATCCCGGCAGAAGAGACGACGACTGTTTTTGTTCGATACTTTTATGAAGAATTAAGTAACGAAGATTCACGTGTTTATCAGAAATTCATGTAGCCATCTCTCCCTGACCACTTTTAGTAAAGGCTTTTAAATTTTAAAACAGCCCATTGGGGCCAGTTAGAGTAAGTTTGGCAAAGGTGTAATATGCAAAATAACAGGACTAAGAAAAGAGTGGAGTCATGTCAACACGCCGTAACTGAATCAACAGCTATAATTCTGCAAGTTTTCAGCTTCAAAATTCTATTTTCACACACGAGTGGCAAAACTGTCTTCCCATTTTCAATTTTATGTTGTTTATCTGAATGAGAAGAAAGAAGCACTGCACACTGCAGAATTGCCGTAAGATCTCCACACAGCTCAATACTTTATTACGCATACAGTTCTTGGATTCAAGGAAAACCATGGTGAAAACAAGAGACGGCTTTGTTTTACAATAGTAGGGGCGCTGTGTGCACGTCTTGCTCAGAATTTATTTCCTTTCCTCGGTCCCGTTTCTTTGAATTAAAAACTGACAGAATGTTATGACGAAAATCAGCTGGACGCTCCTTATGATCCAAACTCTCCAGGTGCCCATTTAAATGGAACTCTAGCTAAAGAAATTCCATAAGTAAAGAGTTATATTTCTAATTAAAGGTCTCTATCCGCCCTCCAAGAAACCTGAAAGGGGCAGAAACAAAGAAACCTGAGGAGGAGTACTAATAGTTCCCGCGTGAACATATTCAATTAAAACCAGCGGAAGAAAAAGGAAAATAAAATGTTACTATAGTATGCAAAATTATGAGCCACTTGAAATATATTTGCTCGCGTGCGATTGATTTAAAGGCATTATGTGACCGAATATTCTCCAGCTAAAAGTAGGGGATATCCAAAGATACTACCCTTTCAAAATTTAATTCAAGAAGAGAGAGTGTTCTATGGTTCTTACATACGAAAGCAAACGTATTTGTTTGTTCATTAAGTCGTACCAGAGAACATTAAAAAGAAAACTCCCAACGCAGCTAACAGTAAGCTGTTCGTAAACGTTTTTTCCACGTGTTGCAAAATATTTGAAGGATAATAAACAAAATAGCATCTGTTTTGCGGGAAAATATACACGTATATTTTTCCTTGGACTTAATATGTTTCTCGAAGCTCACAGTTTTCCTCGAGCTTTGCTCTCAAAAAAATGTTTGCATCTTGGAACAAATAATGTCCGCGGACAAATATCCGAGCACATTATTGCACCAAGCAGAGGCGCAATAATGTGTTTGAATCGGGATCTATTGATCCCGTTTTAACAAACTAGGCATATTCAATCAAGTCTAATTTCTCATCTGGGTCGCAGGGTGTTATAAGAGAAATATTGGGGTTGGCGGTACAAGATCACAAAGTGATCGCGTACAAAAATGCCAACTGTCTTTATTACTTTACATATTACAGAAATTATTTAACAAAATCATTTGATGAAATTATTTAACGAAATCATTTGATGGAATTACTTACCGAAATATTTTGATAGAATTATTGAGTGGAATCATTTGATAGAATCATTTTATATATTTTTCTATACTATAGGAGACTAGCGCTATATCATCATTTTTCCATCGGGAGACATTCTCAGAAAACAGGGAAGTCAATGTTCATGACACCTCTCTAAGGTGCAATATGATTTTATATGATTTTAATATGATTTTAGGGGATTTCCCGAGGAAATGAGGCATCACATTGCTGTCATGCTCTCCTAAATCATGTGAAAGTCTCGTGAGAATGTTCGAGACCTTTACAAATTAACAAATAGAGAAGCCTTGGCTGTGCTCTGTTCTGTTATAAAGCACGCAGGAAGCGGCTAGAGCACGAAAGAAGTGTAGGGAGAAACACGAGACGTAGTCGAGTGTTTCTCCCCACTTCTTGAGTGCTTTAGCCGCTTCCTAAGTGCTTTATAACAGAACAGAGCACAGCCAAGGCTTCTCTATTTGTTAATTATAATAAAGAATCCATTAGATTCCCCGAGCATTACTTTCAATTTTCAAAACAAACTTTATTTCCAAAGCGAACAACAGTGTCGTCAGCATGCTCTATACTCTCATAAAGCACGCTCCAATAAGCCAATCAGAATCCCTGTTAGAATGGTTCAAATAATCTGATTGGCTGTACAAGACTAAAGCTGTCAAAAGTGTCAAACCATCAAAGTTAAAAAACCATCAAAGTTCACCTTCTGCGATAGTTTACAAACTAAAATAGTTCGGTAGGTCGAATTTAACACTTTTGCCTGAAGTTTTAAAGTCTCTAATACAGAATCTTGAACTGAAATGTTCAGTGAACTTCAGCCGAGTTATGGCTCATAAAAACACGCAAGTTTTTTCACATGACAAGGTACAAAACAAACTGTTCAGGGCGAGTGTTTTTTTAATGAACGACAGCCGAATTCACCGGAATATGAAGATCGCTCGGGATGACAGCGTCGAAAAACTCGGCTGCAGTGACAGATGTGACTTTCCACTCAACGCATCGGAAAGGATATCAGAGCAAGCTCTAATTTTTCCACTCGAAGGGCGGCCGATGTAGTTTCTGAGGCTTGCTGTGATGACCGGAGATCGCCATGATGAGCGAGCCGCGATGGACTTCAGCGTGATCATATTCGCTCAGACACCGTCATGATTAGAATGAATTTTAACAGTTATGCCAGTTTGGTTATATTTTTCATCATTTCTGTTTTGTTCTGTTTTGTTTTTGAACACTGAACTCTATATACTATATGAGTGTTAGCTGTGTTTGATTTTTATTTCCGTACGTAAGCTTGCAATCTACTGAGCGTGAATCAATCTTTAAAACCTCGAATGTCTATTTTGTTTTTCCTTTGAGGATTTTCGTATCTACTCACGTTTTAATAACGTAAATTACGGCGCCTGGTATGTTTACAAACCTTTATTTGGTTCTTCTGTTGCTACTTGCCGGCTCGCTTGTTCCGAAATTTCACTTTCAATTATCGGAAAAAAGCTAAAAGGAAGTCCCGGAAAAAGTCGAACATAGTACAGTTTGGCAGATGGCGTGACAGCTCTAGCTCAGCTCTATGCTCTATACTCTCATAGAGCACGCTCTTTCAACCAATGACATCGCGCGTTATATCCGAACTTTATTATAATATATGTTAAAAGCTAATTTCAATAAAGAAACTAAAGGAAGATTAGCAGCTGGTGTTTTCACGACATCGAAAGAAGCGCGGCAATTGGGCCCCGAAAAGCGCTGAACTTTTAGTTTCATTTGTGAGGGAGATAGCGAGACAGTAAGTAAAACGCCTTTTAATTCTCTTCCTTAGCTTTTCTTCCTACATTCTGAATGGTAGAATAACACCTTTCCCTACCCCTCATCAACAGGAACACTTCCAGTTTCGAATGTTGCATTCGATCGCATTTGGCTGATTTACATGTTTAAACGGGGTTAATAAGCACACAGGTGATTCTGTTCTGGAAGCTCTTCATGGTAGCTTCAAATCCTTTCCATGTCTTTTATTTTTCACTCTTTCTATGATTTGGCTTTAAACAAATGCTTCCACTGGTCAGATAAAGAACGCTTGTAAACGCTCAGCTCGAAAATGAAAATGAATATTGCGTGTGAAGATGTTAACATTTTTAGTCAACCAACGGTGGTCGATTCAGGACAAAACAATCCATATGAGCTGCTAAAAAAAAGCAATCGTGAATATTAGACAATTCAATCGTCACAGAAAATGAATGGAATATGAAGCTTGAGTCAAGATTCTGTAACGTGACCCAAAGTATGTTTGTATTCTGATCAGAGTTCCTCTTAATATAAACGGCGGAGGATTTAGAATTCATTTGAAATCATTTGATGGAATTACTGAGTGGAATCATTTAATAGAACCATATTATGTATATTTCTCCATGCTATAGGAGACTAGCGCTATATTATCATTTTCCATTGCGAGACATTCTCAGAAAACAGGGAAGTCAATGATGGCTTTCAGGGGATTTCCCGAGGAAATGAGTCATCATACTGCTATCATGTTTTCCTAAGTCATGTGAAAGTCTCGTGAGATAATTTCTAATCTTTACAAATATATATTAAAAGCTACTTTTTTAAGAAAGATTACCAGCTGGTGTCTTCGCGACATCGAAAGAAGCGCGGTAATTGAGCCTCGAAAAGCGCTGAACGTAAGTTTCATTTGTGAGGGAGATAACGACGCAGAAACGTGATATCCACCCAGCTCTCTGTTGTCTGTTGACGTTGCCTCCCACTTCTACTTGCTACTTGACAGGCCTTTTTGTTTTTCCCTGTTGGTCAATTACTTTCCACGTTTTGATAGGTACTTGAGAAACATTTCCTGGCATCATTTGCTTCTGATTTAACTGGTTGACGTGAAGTGAACATTCCGGTAAGTATAACGCCTTTTAATTCTCTTAGCTCTTTCTTCCTACATTCTTGATAGAGTAACACTTTAGCTTTTCTTCCTACATTCTAAATGTCTTGGTGAGTAACACTTTTCCCTACCCCTCATCAGCCGGAACATTTTCAGTTTCGAATGTTGCATTCGACCGTATTTGGCTGATTTACGTGTTTGAACGGGGTTAATAAGCAGGGACACAAGTGATTCTGTTCTAGAAGCTCTTCTTTTTTCACTCTTGCTATTATTTAGCTTTAAACAAATGCTTCCACTGGTCAGATAAATAACGCTTGTAAACGCTCAACTCGAAGATAGAAATGAACACTGCGTGTATAGATGTTAAAATTTTTAGTCAACCAACCGTGATTGATACAGGACGAAGCAATCCATATGCGTTGCTAACAAAAGTAATCGCAAAAATTAGAAAATTCAATCGTCACAGAAAATGAATGGAATATGAAGCTGGAGCTAAGATTTAAACTATTCAAAACTATGAATGTCTTCTGATTAGAGTTTCTTTTAATATGAACAGCGGAGGATTAATAATTCTGACCGTTATTGTCTCAGGAGACAGACAGAGACAACTCTTCTGTAGAATTTTAAAGAGAATTCTGTTTGTAAATACGGCCCTAAGAGTGACAGGGAAAGAAGGAACAAAAGTAATGTTTTGTTATCCAGTGAGAAAAAATGGTGCACCTTTCCGCATCGAAAACCTGGGGCGATGATCGCTTTTGTCTAACTAAACAGCCTCCAGTTAAAGGTTATGCAAGATCTAAGCGCTTGCTGATTATTTTCCGTGTCATTCGTATTCATTTATTTCGCTCTTTATTTTTTTCACACCTCCTCGTTAGTGTTTTTTATTAAGTTTGTCAGCGGTTTACTTCGTTAGTTACACCTTTTCGTGCGTTTCTCATACCGCACGTCATTTCGCAGCCCTCTTGTATTTAAAGCCAGTTTCTTTTACGCATAATCGCTTTTCATGCTTGTTCAACCTATAGTCGCGCTTAGCGCAGTTCTCTGTTTTGTAATTCGATTTTGCAGTTGTATATTTGACGTTTCAGTGTGTTTTTTCCGTTTTGTTTCGTTTGTATTCATTTTTTGTTTGTAGTTTGTTTATCTTGATTAGTCAATTTAAGTCTTATTTATGTTTTAGTTTCAACCTACCACTGTTGTTGCTCTCTGAAATAAAAGTATTTCGAGGTGGAAAGATTACGTTTTTGCTGCTGCAGGTCATTATGAAAAGCAATAATAAATCATATTATTAGCTTGATTCTGAAAATACAATTGTGACTGAAGTGGAACGCAAAAGATATCATGGTTTATTGACTGCACACTTTTTAATAGCACACGGTCCAATGACTGTTTGTCTAATTTAGGAATAAACGTCTACAAAATAAAGGGTATGACAGACTTTAACATGAAGAAAAACAACACTGACGTTATCAAAAATCTAATATGAATCCAGGTGTTACACCTGCCAGTCGCAAAGTGTTTAACATGAAATTCGTTTTTAGGTAAGTTGTTCCATGCATGTTCTCACCAACCGAGCAAGGGATTCGCCTCCTCGTATTTTACAAAACGTCCTCTCGCACATTCATACCGTTCAGCTCTGTTTATAAAATAATTATTAAAGATTGGTATAAAGCTGAGTGAACATTTAAGTTAATCGTGGGAATTAAATATCTTATTTCTTCTCTTTTTCTTTAAGAATTTAGATCTGCCACAACATGCCATTTGAAGACCTTATA